CCCCCCTTTCCCTCCTTCTCCCTCAGATATATGGCTGAGCATGAGGCCATATGGTCTGGGATATCCCTCGGGTCACTTGGGGTCAGCTGTCCTGGCTGTGTCCCCTCCCAGCTCCTTGTGCACCCCCAGCCTCTCGCTGCTGGGGTGGGGTGAGGAGCAGAGAAGGCCGTGGCTCAGGATAAACCCTGCTCAGCAGTAACAAAAACATCTCTGGCACTATTTCCAGCATAAATCCAAACCTCAGCCCCACACCAGCTGCTGTGAAGAAAATTAAGTCCATCGCTGCCCAAACCAGCACAACGTGCTACACTGCATTTTCTGCTTCTCCAGAGAGTGTTCTCCAAGGGAAAAATAAGCTATTTTCTACGTTTCTTTAACAGCTTTTGGAAACAAAGAATCTCTCTGCTGTCGTGTAAAGCAGGTTGGCTGGGCTCTATTTCTCGAGTTTATCCTCACTTGTAATTCCATATAATCCAGCTGTGTGGGAAGGCGGCTGAAGAAAGACACGGAAGAAAACCCAGTGAAAGAAAGTTAACACTGCTATCACAGCCTCAGAGCGAACGCCCGGACTGCAAACCTGCCGTTCCGGACCTTTCCCGCTGTACGAGCCTGTGCAGTAAGAACCGTGTGAGCTCTGGGTGCTTGTCAAGAAGAGCCTTTTCCAGTGAAGGCCTTTAGAGAGAGGCCCAGGAGCTCCGGGAGCCGCCTGGCCCCGTTCCCCCCGAGTGCCGTGGAGCCGCCCCGGCGGGCGGGGCCGGGCTCGCGGGGGCCGGGCCAGGCGGCTCCGAGCCCGCCGCCGCCGCCATGCCCAAAGTGGTGTCGCGGTCCGTCGTGTGCTCCGACACCCGCGACCGCGAGGAGTACGACGATGGGGAAAAGCCGCTGCACGTCTACTACTGCTTGTGCGGGCAGATGGTGCTGGTGCTCGGTGAGCCGGGGGCCGGGGGCAGGCCGCGGCCCGGCGACGCAGAGGGCCCGGGAAGGCAGGGCGGGGTGTGGGTGCGGGTCCAGGATGCGGGATATGGGTTTGGGTTTGGGGTGCAGAGCGAGGGTGCGGGTTTCGGGCTCCCGGCGCGGGTGCTCGTCCGGCCCCGCCGCCAGCCCTGCTCTCGGCAGATTGCCAGCTGGAGAAGCTGCCGATGCGGCCGCGGGACCGCGCCCGTGTGATGGATGCGGCCAAGCACGCCCACAAGTTCTGCAACGCCGAGGAGGAGGAAAGCGTCTTCCTGCGCAGGTGGGCCTGGCCTCTGCATCCCCCGTCCCTCTGAGCCCCAGGCCCGGGGAAGGGGCTGCCCTCCCCGCCCACCTGGGAGCCGCCAGCCAGGCACGGAGACCCTCTGTCCGTGTGCTCTGCTCAAGCGCTGCCTCTCTCCCGCAGACCCGAAGGCATAGAGCGGCAGTTCAGGAAGAAGTGTGGCAAGTGAGTGACTTTTTTTAGTATTTTGAATGACTTTTAAAATCTTTCTATGAGGAAAGCATAGGAATCCAGAATCTGGGTTTCCTCTCAGCTATGTGTATTTCTAATTCCAGGTGTGGACTGCTGCTGTTTTATCAACACCAACAGAAAAATGCTCCTGTGACGTTCATTGTTGACGGTGCTGTGGTCAAATTTGGCCAAGGTTTTGGGAAAACAAACATATATACTCAGAAACAAGAACCTCCTAAAAAGGTGATGGGGAAGAAAGTTATCTTTGCTTTTCTAAAGGTGTTATGTATAAAATAACTTAATGGAGAGGGAAGAGGGGAGAGAAAAAAAAGGACCTCTGAACAATAACTCAATTTGGTATCTTATCCATGTCTCCCTTAAGTTTTCTGTGACAGAGGTCACTGCACCCTGGCAGAGGTCCTAGCACTAAAGGAGAACAAAATGAACTCTAAAATCTAGACTATGCCTGATGTTGAGGCTCAGTTAATAGAAAGTTTCCCATTATAAGTAGGTCAGGTTGGTAGTCTGCACAGTGATTCTTAAAGTCTGGCTCATCTATTGTATTTTAGTGAGCTTGTTTATGATAATGACCTCTAAGTCCAGAAATCACTGAGCATAATTCCCCTTTGCCACCCACAGAGTTCAGGGGATCTTGATGGCTTGTATAAGAAGCCTTAAAAGAAGGAGGAAGCAATGCCCACTGGTGCAAATGTTGCCAAGGTTTAACAAAATATTCTTGTTTTTTACCCAGGTGATGATGACCAAACGGACCAAAGACATGGGCAAGTTCAGTTCTGTCACAGTCTCCACAATTGATGAAGAGGAGGAGGAGATTGAAGCGGTGAGTTTTGGATGCCCTTAGTGGCAGCCACATCTGAGCTGGCAGAGCCAGCAATAGTCTCAGTGTTTGGATGAGATGCTACTCTGGGGTTTGCTGTTGCAAAGTGACATCCGTATATTTCAGAGAGAGATTGCAGACTCGTATGCACAGAATGCAAAAGTGATTGAGAAACAGCTGGAACGCAAAGGCATGAGCAAGAAAAGGCTACAAGAGTTGGTGAGTTTTTCTTTGGTGCTGAACACAAAGCCCTGAGCTGTGTTGGCTTTGTACACAAAACCTATGTTGCAGATCAGACTGTAAGTGTAGAGAGGCCCTGGTATAGTCACAGGCAACTTGCAACTTTGTGAGGATGAGATTTCCTTTACAAGTTTTGTAGAGATGTTCTTCTAGTTCCCCGAACTTAAAATTGTATGCCATTGCCTGGAGAGCTAACTGAAGAGCAGCCAGCAGAGTGCTTGCAGGGAGGCTTTCTGTGACCTGCTGGACAAAGAACAAGGACAGGAGAAATCAGGCCATGGCTTTGCCAGCCTGTGCTCTCATGCCTGCTTGGCAGAGCAGGTCATTGCCATGAGGCATCAGGGCAAAGCAAAACTCTTGTGGAGGATCTGCAGCTTGGTTGCTACTGCAAGGGGCACACGAAGAATAAATGCCAAGAACATCACAACTGATCTTACTTCCTGTGACAGGAGGGTAGTAGATGGAAAGGGGGAGGAAATGTGCAGCTTCCATCTGAGGATAGAAAGTATGAAATTGTCTCTTGGGCAGCTGGTCTTGGGTTTTTTACAATCTTAAAGATGGTCCTTGTTTTGTATGTCACTTGAGATACTCTTGCTCCTGGTTTTGGAACTGAAAAGTTTGCATTGGTCAGACAAGAAGAACAAACTTAATTGGAGCACTGAAGGGAAAATTACACAGACATTATTTAATTCTGCCTTAATTTTCCTATTCAGGCTGAGTTGGAAGCCAAGAAAGCCAAGATGAAGGGAACCCTGATTGATAACCAGTTCAAATGAAATGCTGTGTATCTGCTGGGTATTCGGAGACAGGAGAAAACTACCAAGAGCTATCACAATTCTGTCAACAAAGCAGAAGTAACAGACTTTGTTCAAGAGTTGCACTGTGCTGCAGAGAGCTTGGAGGATGAGAACCTCTCTGTATAAGTGATACTCTGGGTACCAGTCTTAACTCCAGTGGCACTGGAGACTTTGCTCAAACTGCAGTTCCCTACAGACCCAGTGTTATGAGCAGGCTGTTGCAGTATAATATATACTTTCAAGAATATCTTTGCTGGGTGCCTTGCCAGGTTCACCTTTAGATACCTGTCTTTTTATTTTGTAATTTTCAAATGTATTTCCTTGAATGCATTAGAACAATGGGTAACTGTACAACAAAGAAATCCTTACAAAAGTAAGCTCTATGCCTGTTGTTCATTTTGTTATTTTAAATGTGTCCAAAAGGTGCAGCAGCCTGAGCTCTAATTAATACAGTCTAGAACGACTGGGATGCAAGGCTTGGGCATGGTGCTGCTGCTCACCCTGACCTGCCAGAGGCAGCCAGCACAGACTGGGCTGCAGCACAGCAGTCTCTGCTCCTGCTGAACATCACAAGGCTGCAGTTGTACAGAATTACACTGTCAGAACAGACACAAGAATATAAAATACAAGCCTGTAAATAAAAACTGGTACTAATGAGTTCAAATACATGGTTGGAAGTTACTGATACAGCCAGTGGTCATTAAAGAATACAACTGCACATCTGAACTAGCCAATTGGGCAAAACAGTATCGGTATTTGGAGTTGTGAAATGTGAAGGAAAAATTATTTTGAGTGTACTGACCACTGAGGACTTGAATAGACAACATTACACACCAGTTTTTAAAATACCTTGTTTGGGTACTTTGTGCCTCTTGTGTGATGTAATAACAGTGCTCTCTAACCCATGTCTTTGTTGCTCTATGTTGGATTAAATACCATGTTACAGATCTAAACTAAGATACCTCTCCTTACTCTACCAAGTAAATGCATCATAAAATGTGAGCAATGAACAAGATGCTTCTATCTCCCACAATTATTATGGAAAACTTCCTATAATCAATAAAGATTTTCCATCTGGCTTTATAATCCTGACAGGGACAACAGATCTGCTTACCTAAGGATCTATCCTTTCTAGGGAAAACAAGGAGCAAAAGGGAGTGAACTCAGTCCAGAGATGGGTCTGTAGATCCTGTGATAATCTAATGCCAGCCTGGTAAGCAGGTGTTTACATTAACTCATGCAGTGCTGATCTTGTTCCCTGCTCATCACCTGCTAATCTGAAGCCTGTTTCCAGAAGCCTGTGGCCAGGTGGTGTGAAGGGCAGGAGATGTGCGTGGGTACACAAACCCCTTTCCCACTGTGGTAGCACAGTCCAGCCAGGTGAGGGCCTCAGGATTCCTCTGGGAGTGATCCAAGCCTGGGGTAACAGCAGGTTGTTCTCTATAAAAATTCAGATTTTTTCCCAAGCAAGAGTAAAAGACTTCGACATCTGAAAATAGGTTTTGAACCACGTGAGAGGTGCTGGGATGCAGATGCTGAGTCTCCAGTTGTCCAAGGATGAAGTGTAGTTTTGGTTTAAGTGACACCAGAACAAGCTAACTTGGGGATGGTGCAATTTACTGTCAGGGTTAAGACTGGGAGTGACGAAAGGCTTCAGTTGAGTATGGGCTGTGAAGGGGCTGCCAGGTAGGGATAGGACCATTTTGCAGTTTCGTGAGGCACAAAGAAAATCTAGTAAGTGTCCCAGTTCAGCACAACTAGTCCAAAGCAGCTGTTACCAGCTACCATCAACTTCTTCAGCTGCCACCTGGAGCCTTGAGACAGCACAGCACAGGCTTCTAGAAGGCCAGTCCATGTTCAATCAGTGTTTGTCGTTCTTGTCATTGGAAATCTGCCTAGTTTGGCTCAAGACTTGTGCATGGACCCAGTCAGAAAGGGGAGTACCTAATTTCTTCTGAGGTGCTTTTGATACACTCTAGTTATGCAGTCCATAGCTGAAAACTCCAACACAGAGAATCTGATACAATACATTATTACATATTTCTTACTTCAATTGGAGCTAGTTCACAAGAGTGTAAATCAAGTTGGGTTTTTAATTTCTATATCTAAATGAATTAAAATATTTTAGCTGACTGTAGAAAGGGAAGGAAGCAAGGTCACCAAGTTCAAACAATTGATGAAATGTCCTGCTGTAATAGATAAAACCAGCTGTCCTGCAGGGTTTCCCATACCCTGGTAGTAAATGGGCAATCTCTAGCAGAGTTCAGACCAAAGGAAAGTCAGATTTTGTGTTACTGTAAAAGTCAAAATTTGTTTTCACAAATCTGTAGATAAAGGTAAGTGACAGATTTGTTTAAGTGAGCACCATATTGTATGTAAGAACTTGTCCAGATGCAGAGGTATCACAAAACGTAAAATAAAAGGAGGGAGTCTGTTCCAAAAGTAAATGGCCAGACTTACCTTACTGTATTTCATGACTTAGTCCAGTTTCCAAGCACCTTCACAAAACCCTAGCCTGATTTACCAGGTTAGAACAGCTCTGGATGTAACAATGCTGCCTGCTTTCCCATAACCTGTACAAAACCTCCACACAATTTGTAAACACTCAAGAGAAGTGGTAACAGTGAATCCAACCTCCTCTGTGTTAATTACAGCTGTGCCTGGGGAGCAGCATGGAATTGTCCTTTCCTGCCCCCTTGAGGGAAGGTTTCTGGTCAAGCCGTACAGCTCTTCTTGTGCTCCATGTTTGTGCTATTTTATTTACTGATTGATGGCAGATGGCTCGCTCTGACTCTCTAGACTGTTGCACTGATAAATGCAAATTGATAAATACACATGACAATGTGTATGACAAAGTGATCAGCTTGGGAGCTGTAGTAGTCTCAGCTTTTGCTAGTGCTATCCTAAAAAGCCCATGGGGCTTTGCCACATTCAGCCATTTAAAAAATATAAAATTATGGGCTTGTTTAAAAAGCTCCAGGGCTGGGCTCCAAGGATGGAATGGAAACCTTGTAACTCCCTGCTGAGGAATCCTTATGAACCTAGCTAGCCACAGAATACTGGGGTTTTTGATAGATTTCAAGGCACAAGCAGCCAATTTCTCTTTGGTTGTCAGCCAGAAAAACTTCATCCCCATACCTGCAGCCAGGGCTCTAACTCCTGTCAATCCCAGCAGGATCAGAAAGCAACAACCAGCAAATCACTGGTCGGATGACACCTCCCAGAACCTCCCTGATGCTGCCAGTCTTGGTGGGGTCTTGAGAACTCATTGTTTCCAAAACCACTATCCCCCAGCAGCCTGGTATAGCTCCAGGGTGAACAGAACTGGGGCTGTGTCCCTCCAGGCATGTGAGCTTAGCTGTGTCCCCACAGCCCAACCCACCATGCATGTGCTTCGGGCAGCTGATGGGGCCACCTTGCATGGCTGGGCAGTGGCAGGAACAATCCCCACTGGGAACAGCTGATTTTACCCTGCATGACAAAGCACTGCCTCTTCCCCTGCCTCTCTGCACCAGACACTGCCAGTCATGCAGGCAGCACATGCAAGATGCTGGGGCAATGCCTGACAAGGACAAGGACACAGAGGTAGGGGCACTCCTGGCTCCATCCAAAGCCCAGAGACACAGCCTGGAGTGACCCAACAATTGCTGAAGGGGACAGAGGAGTGGATGAACTGCCACTCTGCTGATGTTTTACAAGTCAAGTCCTTGGGGTGGGATGCTCTCTACTGCAAGACTCAGCAGACAGCCAGGTACAGCCCAGTTGGGGCAGGCTGGTGCACACTGAGCCATTCCAACCATCCCGCACCAATTGCCACCTGCCCCAGCCACTGACAAGCACGTCACACGATCCCCTGTGCAGCTGTGCTGCGTCAACACCTCCTAAGCTTGGGATTTATGGCTGCTGGGCAAGGGCTGAGACAAAAGCAGCATTACAGGCATTCACCCATCCCTTCCCACCAAAAAAGGAGCTGATACACCACTCTGGACTCTGCTCCTGTAGAGGAAATCATGACGTGTGATGTTCAGCCCTTCCCACAGGAGAATCACACTTAAAAGGAAAATCCACCCAATCCATGCCATTCTTGGGGCAGTACAACCCAGTGGACAAAATGCTGAGTTGAAGGGACTGAACTCAGTTTGCTGCCTTGTCACTGGCTGGCTCCAGTCCCTTTCTCACCTCAGTTTCTCCATAGGAACAAAACCCTTAATTCCTGTACAGTGTGCTCCTGTGGCAGGCAATAGCAGCAGCTGAATCCCCCAGCCTGGTCCCCAGATAAAGCTGCTCCCAGGGAGCTGCCAGGAGGGGGGAGGTTAAAACCCCAGAAGGCCTACCAACCTGTGCTGCCCAACCGTGGAGTGCAGGAAAAAAAAACCCTGTGGGCTCTGCCACCTGCCAGAGCTAAAAAGAGCTGTGAAACACATTCTTGTTTCCTGAATTCCCAAAGCAGTCAATAGGGCAGGTAGCTAAAACACATTTTACTTAGTGCCATCCCTGCACCCAAAGTCCAGTGCACAATCTCTAGTTCTTAAGGACTTAGGGATCCCCCAGCTCAGCTCCTTTACAGCCTGGCACAACATCCCAGCTCAGTGCCTCAGTCACCCACCACTGTGTGCAGGGAGAAATGATGCACTTACCTTATTGTCCCAATGGCATGGGTGTGCATCCCCTGTGAAGAAAAGGACAGAAAAGGATGCCTCATGCTCAGCAGCATTTCAGAACAGCCCTTGAAATCCAGGTGAGCTTAGCAGCAGGAGGCTGAGAGCCCTTAATTAATAAGCTGGCACTTGTACAACAGGAGAGGGCTCCCTGGTAAAGCTGCCCCATGGCCAGTCCCCTGCCAAGCTGCTGCCTGTATCCCCAGCACTGCCCACCAATTGTGGGATTGCTTCACATCTCACCTTTACAGCCTGTTTCATTTCCACAGCAGGCAGTGAGGGATCTCACACCGCAGCAGTCCAGGGGCAGTTGAAAATCATCAGCAAGGACAGCTGGCTCAACTGTGAGGCACAAGACTGCCTCTCATCAGGAAGGCATGTGCCCACTCACAGGGACCCTGGCAAGTCAACACCACCTGCAGCAGGAAGGTGCTGTGCTCTCATGCCTGGCTGCCCTGCTTAGATTCCAGCAATAAACACAACTCTCGCCCTTTGCAACACAAGGTCTTGTTTAGCTGCCTTGGGCAGTGGTTGAAATTGGTTTCAGTGACTGAAATCAACTGTTTTGAGGAGGCCTGGGCAGCCAGAAAGAACCAAAGGCATGGGGGAAGTGAGGAGATTCACTCATCTGAAGGGCAGAGGTCCAGGAGAGTATCCACTAACAACTCCAGATCCCCAGGCAGAAACCAGGCAGCTTCACTGGGGTGACTCACAGACCTACAGAGATATCTGGGTAAAGGCCACACCACACATGTTGCTCCATCTTGCAGTTTTCCCCAAATTGTCCCAGCAGCATAAAGGAATTTTCCCCTTCCCATGGAATTTTGAACCTGAAGTTCCAGGGGTAAGGAATGAGCTTGGAAATACACCTCCCTGCCTAGCAAGCACAGCTGGTACAGAAGCTGTCTCTGCTCAGCTGTTGCATCCCCACAGCACAGCACCCTCTGTGAAAGCAAGGCTAGCCAGGGAAGCTAAAGAACAGTAGCAATTAACTGCACTTGTGTCCTCTGGCTACCTACATGCCCAAGTAGGTAGCTCAGCTTCTAAGGCAGAGAACATGATGCCAAGCTCTGCTCCTCCAGAGAGCAGCAAACACTCCCTTAGAAATTCTTCCAGTCTTCCAGGCATTCAGTGCCATAAGGTGTGCTGTGTTTTACAGACAGTTTAGGCACTTGGCACCTTCAAAATCAGGTTTCATGAGCTCCAAGTAGCAGACAGGCCAGAGGCAGGACTGTGGCACACGCTCAGTCCATCATCTCTGGTTAGTGGAGTCTCAGGGAGGTCAGCTGGGTGAGACCTTCAGAGCTGCCAGTCCCCATTCCAGCCAACACCACTGGAAGAAACACTAAGCTTCCTTGGCAGCCTGCACTGTGTTTACCTGCCAGTACTTAGCAGGTACTAAGGCTTGCAGGATGGAGATCGTTCATCTTCTTCCTTCTCTACAGCTGCTGAGACTCCCAACCCCCTCATACTTCAACTGCTGTAAGAACAAACATGAGATGAGGAAACTGGGTTTCAGATTTTTATTTCTCTGTACTCTTTAAGCAGGAGTGACTGAAGTAGAAACCATCATGAGTCCCATCAGGGGGAATAGTTTGATAAAGACAGGGCAGGCAGTCACCCCTGCCCCATGCCAACCTGTATAAACATCAGCCGCCACTGTTTAGTAACTAGATGGTTTTCAAACAAGTCCATGAACAGTCATAGACTACATAGAACAACATGCCAGTTCACAACAGGAAACTTATGTATACTTCTTGATTTCATCATACAGGACTAAGACAAAAGCACCTCCCATTCCTCGGAGTACATTTGACCATGCACCTTTGAAAAAGGCCTTGGAGCCCTCATCCCGGGCAATCTTCCGCCAGCAGTCAAGAGTGCCGGAGTACATTATGTCAGCTGCAGGAGACAGACAGCTTTAGGAACTGGTTGTCCATGATCCCCAACATCCAGCTCAGAAACAGCCTCATGTATCTACTAGCTTTACAGCCTCAAATGCATCCCATTTCATGGCTGACTTTCTCCAATACTAGCACATCAGAGGACGACGCAGCCCAGGACTGATGGTGCTGCTGCTGCTGCATTGTCCCTGGAAGACACTGGTAGGACCAGTTCAAGCAGAAGGCAGCAACTCCTTGCTTTGACACCAACATTTCCAAACCCAAAAGCTATTGCGCAGCTGGCCAGGCTATGCCTGCTACGGAGACTGTCTTTTCTTGTCCCAGAGACAGGGGATTGCAACATCCTTGGGCAAGTTTGCTATTCCTACCTACTGACATACACCTGACTTGTGCATGCCACCTTATAGGCGTGCTGCACAGGCCGACCCATTCGTGCCCCTTCCTGTCATATGCTTCTGCAGCCCCTCCTACACCCCTGCTTACAAGAGATGAGGATATCTACACAGTCTGATGAAAGTCAAGCCACTCTGCCTTCAATTCAGCTCCACCACAAGCTACTGATTCAGGGATGCCCAATAACTCTTACACAGTGATGTAGAAACTTACCTCCTTTACGACCAGACTGCATCATCATGCGACGACGAACTGTATCAAAAGGGTAGGATACCAAACCAGCAACAGCAGTGACTGACTGAGCAATCATCCAGCTGACAACAATATGGGTGTTCTTTGGGTCTGGAAGCATGCCTGCAGGAGAGAGGCTTTGATAAGAATGGCAGGTAAGCCGCCAGCAGTATTGAAATGCACTACAGGCCTGCCACATCCCAGCGTCTCCCTTTTAGTGCCGTTTTGGTCAACCTACCCTTTGCGGTGTCGTAGATGCCGAAGTAGGCGGCTCTGTAGATAATGATGCCCTGGACAGAGACACTGAAGCCCTGGTACAGGCCCCTAAGGCCATCTGAGCGGAAGATTTTGACCAGGCAGTCACCGAGCCCACTGAATTCCCGGTCGGTCCCGGCTTTACCCACATCCGCTGCCAGGCGGGTTCGGGCAAAGTCAAGGGGGTAGACGAAACAGAGGGAGGTCGCGCCGGCGGCACCCCCGGATGCCAGGTTACCGGCGAAGTACCGCCAGAACTGGGTTCGCTTGTCCACGCCGCCCAGGAAGATCTGCTTGTATTTATCCTTGAAGGCGAAGTTGAGGGCCTGGGTGGGGAAGTACCGGATCACATTGGCCAGGTTGCCGCGCCAGAAGGAGAGGATGCCCTGCTCCCGCGGGATGCGCACCACGCAGTCGATGATGCCCTTGTACTGCTTGTCGGCGGAAATCTGCTTGCTGGCGTGCTGCACCTGCAGGGGCCGAGATGCCGCTGTCAGCGCCGCTCCCCCGCGAGCCCCCGGCCCACTGCCGCCGCCCCCCCTCTCCTTGCGGCGACCTTGGGACGGCCCCGGCCGCCGGCGCTCACCTGCAGCAGTAGCTTGACCCTCTCGATGGGGGCGACGGCGGTCTTGGAGATGGCGGCCGCCACCCCGCCGGCAAGGAAATCCTTGGCGAAGGACACGGCCGCATCGGTCATGGCGGGAGCGGCGCGAGCGGGAAGCGATGCCGGGCGAAGGAGGCGGGAGGCGGCGCTGAGGGGGCCGCAATGGCCGTTAATATAGGGGCTGGGGCGCGAGCGTGGGCGGGGCGCGAGTTCCGCTCGCCCATTGGCTGCGGCAGGGGGCGTGGCCGCCGCAGGGGGACGGGGCCGCCGTTGGAACGGGCGGGGGGCACATGGCCGCGGTGACGGGAAGGGGTAGCGCGGCACAGGGAGCCCGGGACGGAGCCCCTAGGGACAGGGCATCCCGGGATAGAGCACACCGCGACGGGTACCGCGGAATGGAGGATCCCACCAGCACCGCGGGCGGGACATACATGCGGCCCCGTCCCGGTCACACCACGTGGCGGTGACGGGGCCATCCGTGACCACGACCCCCCGGCTCCTCTGCGCCATCCCAATGCCATGGCGAGAGCAGCCGGACACAGCAGAGCCGCGGCGCAGGCTGGAACGGGGCGGGCTGTGAGGCTGCCTCATCTACAGCCGTGTAGAGGCCCCCATCTCTCTGAGCCGTGCCGAGACCCGCGCGCACAGACCCCTCGGGATACTGTCACAGGGCTCCAGGAGTGACCGAGCTCCAGGCCGTGTATAGAGTCTTTTGCAGTCAGAGTGCTGAGCTCAGCCGAGATGCTCAGACAAGCACATCCCAGCAGGTACTACCCGCCCCCCTATCACACAGCAGCATCCAAACCTCACGCGAGTAGAAGAACTTCACCTAGCCAAGAGTTTAGCCTTGCTATTGACTGGTTCTTCATGGTCATACACCATTTCACATGTTAGTGATCCACTGATGAAGGGTTTTCTTTCAGTGACATCTTAAATATTTTAGTGCTGCCTTTTGGGGAATTTATCGTGTATTTGTGATTACAAATGACAGGCTTGGTTGATAAAAGGTTAGTTAGTGCTTGGTAGGTTGTAGGAGTGCACAACAATACAAAGGTGATAGTAGCACACCAGAAAAAAGTTAGAGATAACTTTTTGGCTCATTTGATTCTTACAAGGTTTGAAGAGGTCATCAGACATTCATATGTACCCATTCAATCTTTAAAATCTATTTAGAAATACAGTGTTAGTAAAAAACATACAGGTATGTTTGGACAAGGCAAGAAATCCATTCCTCCCCAACATGCTTACAATTCACATTTCCGTGTCCATACATGTCCAGCAAGTCTCAGTATTATTATTTGCAAGTATTATTATTTGCACTGTGCCCATGGGAAAACTGAGGCACAAAGAAACATGATCACTAGGCAGGTTGATTAGAACCAAAAGCACTTACAGCCTCGGTGTGATGCATGAGCCACCATATCTGCTCTCTACCATCTTAATTTTTTGCTATCTATGCATGCATTTCTTCACTGAGAAAAACATCAGTATGAAGCACCACTGCAGCAGAACAGAGCAAGTCATTAAGAGAGATACTGCAAGACTTCAGCTGTAAGATACATCAACAGTGAGTTCAAGGTTCAAGGTAGGCCTTACAGTTATCCCAAATCTTTCTGCAAGTTTCTCTCCACAGTTACAGACAGTTCCTGCATGGATTTGCCAATGCCTCATCCTGCTGTGACATGTTCTAACCAAGCAGTTTCTGAGATTTACTTATTTTCACCCATCAGGGGTTATAAACAGTGCAAAAACACAGATGAGGAGCTGTGTAAAGCAGCAAAAGCTGTGCTGAGCCCAGATTGCAGCTCAGGCTGGAGCCAGTGTGCACACACCTTTGTGAGATGCTGTGATTCCCATGCTGCCAGGGGCACAGCCAGCTTTGCACATGGACATGGGTTTGGGTTTTCTATCAGAAGGCACTGGGATGAGCTGTTCCATTGTTGAACTTCTACAAAGGAACTGGGGCAACACCATGGTTCCTCAGGTATAACATGAAATTATCTTTTGTTGTCCAAAAGCTCCTAAGAGACCCATTTGCTGGCAGTGGCACTGGCAGTAACCTGGTGCTCTCCGCAGAGGTTTCTACCTGCAGGACCTCTGCAGCCCCTGGAGGACACAGTTCAAGTGGATCAATCACAGGTGGTGTGCATGGTGCTACTCTGCGTGCAAGTTCAGAACAGCATACTAGGCTTAGGTTTGTGCACTGGACTAAAAAGTGGTCTAATAAAAAAATAGAGCTTTAAAAGTACCTAAACAACATGACAGAGTTTGTGGCTCTGAAATATCTAACACGTTTAAGAACTGCATTTTCCAGGAAATATTTCAGTTTGAGAACTTCAGGAAAATCCTTTTTCAAAGTGTGAAGTAATTCACATACATGCAGTAACAATGCACAAGAAAGGGAGGAATATTTTTGAGTATGCACTTAAGTTTGCAAGATTGTCATTTTACTGTATTATAGTCCATTTTGCACATTACAGTTCTGTCTTAGCAAAAGCACAGTTGCAGCAGCATACATTCATCTTTATGCTGGAGATTCAGACCAAATCAAGTACATCTCAAAAACTGAGGAGTGGATTTGGGAGTGTGACTGAACTAAGACTAATTCTGACTGTAGAATGCCATGTCCACACAGTATCATTAAAAAACTTGGAGAATAATTCTTGCATTTTGCATGTATTTTATTCTATTTTATTCTTTTTGGCTGACTTGGTATCTCAGATTGCTTTAAAAAAAGTCCATTTTTTTAATGTTTTCAAAGACAATTTATACTTTCACCTCTGTTCTCTTGCCTTTCTGAAACTGGTTTAATCTCAAATGGCTATTCAGTATTAAAAAGCACCTAAAATAATGTAATTTCAAGTTCCAGTAGTATAGAGTTTTCAAGCTAGTTGCATCTTTCCTTTTCAATATGTGCTTACCACTCATATTCTTTATATCTGTTCAGCAAATGCAATACAGATTTATTCTTTCCAGAAAAACCATGCAGTCCACTGAAATGTCAGTACCTGTAGCTCAGCATATCTTTCTTGCAAAGTTCCTTAAGAAAGGTGTTTGTATATCTGCAGTGGACACTGATGTCAGTTTTCTAGTGCTGATTTCCTTGGCTCAAAATTTTCCCTTCGGAGGAGTTTTAATTCTCTCAGCTCTCGTGGGTGTAAGCTCTGGTCAACGCCAGGTGTTAGCTTGTAATTTAAAGGAGATTCAATATAACCATTTCTGTAGAGACAAACCCGCTTGCAGAATTCAAAGGTGCTAAACATAACACCGAAGTATGGCACAATCTGATAAAAAAGTAATATAAGAACAAAAAAAAAAAATTAAGACTTACTAGTAGCATCTATAGCTTAGATGTTTTAAAACAAAGGGAACTTCTAGGACTTCAGATCTCATCTGCTAATAGACCTTGTCCTCATTTATATAAAATAAGAGTCTCATCTCAAACTATGCTGTCAGCGGCAGTGTGCTAAAAGTAGGAGTTCATTGTTGTTACATAACTAATTATAGCAATATTGTGAGGAAGAAGGTCTATGCTAGCCTATAAATTAACCAGAACTTGCCAAATACCCAAGTACATCCTAAGCAATCTCAGCAAATCCTGGCAGGAAATGTGGGATTTATTCTACAAACACTGGAGTGACTCCACAATTTTCTTCTTTTGCCCCTGCAGAACCAGCAGCTCCAGGGCCACTGGCTTTGTATCAGCCAAAGTAAGGCAGTCACAGGCAGGCCATCACAATCAATCCCACTGTCACTCCATTAGCACTAATTATCTGGCCTGTAGTATTCTATGTAGGTAATCCTCATCACAGCACTACAACACGTATTTATGTAAATGAAATTACGTTCTGTTTAAGCTACCATGCTTTATTTCACGCTTTCAACTCAGCAAGGGCTGCAGTAACTGATACACATGCATTAAATAGCTGGCTGAAAGCTCAGCTTTGGAGTTCTGGGCAAGTGGCTTATACAAGCACACTTTGCAGCTTACTACAGCATGTCAAATTACTGAAGCTCAGGTCAGGAGAATTTGTTTAGCTGTCCTAAGTGGATTGCTTGCAATCTTCCATCCATTCCACACCTTGTGTGTTAGGAACACCCGCTTCTTCAAAGCTGTTGAAATGAACTTTCAAGTGGTGACATCTAGAAGCCAAGTTTGCATTTGGGGAAATACAACCAAACCAAATTCCAAGACTGGTTTATAACCTGTTTTGTCACTGATTCTGTCATCTATAAGATACTAAGTACAAAGGTATGTCATAAGCTTTCTATCCCCAACTGTCCAAAACCATCTTGATTTCTTCAGGATAGTATTTGACTGGGATGAAAGCAAAACCTCACCTTGAGCAGACTGGGTGTGAGTCCACTCCAAAGTCCCAGCACACCTTTGTTCTTCACAGTTTGCCGGAAGCAGTCAGCCATGCCAGTAAAATGGACATCAACTCCTCCATAGTGGGGAAGCCAAGGACTCTGGGCCTGTCAAGAGACACCCAGGGGCATTTAGAACAAGCAGAGTAAACAAAAGTAATTATTTTCTCCATTCTGGTATATAAGGAAAAGTCAATACCAGGTTTCAATTGACTGATCTGGATTCTTCCCAAAAGTATCCAGTTCAAAATATAAATTCAAAAGGGAAAGAACTCATTTATTGATAGGTCTGAAAGTGAACAGTAATTTCACACAGCACCTCCTTTTGTGCCATGTCACTACTAGCAATAAATCCCACCCTTGTGAGGACAAACCATCCAAACAAGAGCCACATATCCCCATCAGCCCCATGCCAGCTGCTCAGGTCCAGGTATTTCACATTCCTGGCAGTGGAACACTATGAGAGGGAAGGTTGGAGCCACACAGCCTTCCTGTAACTCTGATCAAACCAGCTGACTTGCCTCTGGCTGCTGAAGCTGTGTTTGCACTGCTGTGAGAAACAAGAACCGTACTACAGGCTTAGGAGCAGCAGCATGGCAGAAATGGAAGGAAGAAAAGGAAGAATGGAACCTTGGTAGGCCTTTCAGGCCTACCAAGGGCTGCAGGTGAGCAGCTGGTGCCCATGCTCCCATATCAATGTGTTCAGCTGATAGGGACTAGTTAAAGTTAGCTGGAGAGAATCCTGTTGGCTGGCAGCTGAACTTCCAACTGCAGTACAGTGTCTGTTCACATGGAAGAAGTGTAGCTGG